CACCAACCGTGAAAACAGACATTGCTCCTCCAGTCGAGGCCCCCATGTAGCCTCATCCTTTCATATCCTAATATTTCCTGAAACTATACTTCTGTTAATGTTCCTTTTCAATTCTTTCTCTTCTCATACATTTTAACACATCAATGGAGTCACGTCACTTTAACACGATGACGGAGAACTTAACAATCATTTTAAAGTCTGTTCTCTCATTCACGAAGAAAGGCAGCCTGGGACACAAACCAGTTACGTATCTACAAGAGCCAGCTATTTTTTTAGGCCATGTCTTCCTTTTAGGTTCAGAGTACATATTTTAAGGTTTTTTTCCTGGATTAAATATATTTGAACATTCTTGCACTTAAATTGAAGATAACTTTTGGATTTATTTAAAACCGTGAAATTCATGTACAGAAAATCGTATGCACACACTAAAAAAGATTAGTTAAACATGCATGAAGGATATGCAGTTCATGATATTGGCAAGCACAACGATTCAGCTGCAAAAGAGCACGTGTCAAACTTCACACCATGCCTGCCCATTTTGCAGTATTGTGTGAAGGGAATAAAGTATTTCAAGGTCAATTTCTAACACTCCAAGCAATCACACATTTCATTGTCACTTAAGTAGGGAATTGAATCAGACAATCTTCCTTAACTCACAAAGCAAGATCCCCATTAAAAATTCAATTAGTCTACATTTCACCAAATTCGGACGTTGGGGGCCATCCCAACAGCACTGATGATGCTATCAATTTAATGACCTTTGGACCCTCACCATTTAAAATCACCTTCAAATAAATGTGGCGCTCATCACATTAACTGAAGATACTCAGGTGGTTGTTGACGGTGCTGGTGCCCAATTTCTGCAGTGCAAGGCTAAGGAAGAATTAGCACGGTGGATCAAGTTTGCAATGTAGACTTGAATTTCAACTTGGTCGATTTACCCACAATCTTCTTGAGACATTGCTGGGCAATAAGGTGTCTGTCGGTGTTAGCATAGCAAAGGCTCTCGGAGCTGTCCGTCTGAGCTTTCAATGTTCTCATCACTTATGCACTGCGGTTTCACCCACAATGATGCTAAATTTGTCCTGATATCTTAATCAGGACCATCCTGAAAAAGTTGTGAAACTCAGAGACTTTCCTTGGGTAAAATGTTCACATTAATCCAGAAGGGATTATCTCATGTTCAAGCTTGTGCTGCAATAAAGTATGCTTTGCTTAATCAAACCCTCCCGAGTTATAGTTTAAGTCTCCAACATTTTCCTGTATAGGGGAATTGGTTTCGTAATAGCAGTGTGTGGATTAAATGTGAGCAGTAGGGAAATTACAGAACAGCAGGAGCAAGTGTTGCCTGGATTAAAGCTTCACAAAAATCCCACCGGACCATACGATGAGAGAGTGCATGGCACTCGCGTTATTGTTGTGGGACTCAAGAATGCATCTCGTGGCCTGCCCATTGCTGAGTAAATGCTTCGTTATTTGAGACAAAGCCAAAGTGCTTGAAACATAACACAGCATTTTTACTGCTTGTTGTAACGATAGCTAGTTTTTGTTTGTTTTTCTTGGTTTTTTTTAAACCGTCACAAACAATTTCTAGCTGTATAACATTTTTTTAAAAACAAAACAAAGTTCAAAAATCTGTTCAGTTGTTAGAGCCCACCTAAAATTCAAATACATCAACATATACTGTAGTGTCGCATAGTGACTTCGCAGAATGCACCCTTTTAAATTCAGCGGAAGGCCCTGAAAAATAAAGGATGACATATTTTACAATGAGCCCTAAGTGCTTGTTAACAAGAAAAGTTTCAGCCAGGCTGCTCTGCCATGCCCCATGGCCCTAAACCTTATGAGTCCCAGGCCCCTGCTGTGTGAGGAATAGGCCGCCCCACTCTCCAGAAGTGGGTTCTTTCAGATTGACCCGCCCTAGCTCCCCTCTGTGTTGCAAAAAGTCAACACACGAGACGGCGCACAAAGCATACCCACAGCTCTGCTGAATGTACAAGCTTTTATGGAGCCTTTTTTCAGACCAGGGTGTGTCCTGAAGAGCCACTGAAGAGCGAAAGAATACTTTTGTAAGACAAAGGTTTAGAGAGAAGAAAAAAAACCCCGAAAAAGTGGTCAAACGAGTCGGATAAACTTTACAAGCTATATTTGGATTCCAGACAGTGCAATTGTCCCAATATCCTTTCAAAATAAAGGTTCCATGAAACGAACCTAAACATTCTTACAATGGCCGTTAATTAATGAGTTTCGTTAATTAATTATGAAATGTGTACATTTTGTTGAATAAACTACAGGGCGCTAACTGTAGTAAAGTGGCAGCCCATTTGGTCACAAACCAAATGCCAAGATGTTTCGGGGAAAGATTTGACTCAACTCCCCTTCTTCAGGACGCGAGTAAAAAACACAAGAAACGAATCGAGTCAAATATTTTCCCGAAGCTGGTTAGCTTTTGATTCATGAAAATCTGATCTGGCACTTTGCTTCAGCTCGCAATGACTTGTGCCACAATCTACGCCCGTTTTAGTATTTTATTTATGCGTTTGTACGTATGCCAGTCGTGCCATGCCACCTGGGTCTTCTTGCAACCTCCAGCCAGTGAGCTTTCAACACCTCATGTAACCGCAAATAAGCACTTGGGTGGCGAATGGTGGCTGTTGTATTGTATTTATTAAAAACGGCGAGTGTGCGAAACACACATGACTCTTTAAACATCCATTACGGCATTCATCTTGTTCCTGGCATTAAATGAGGCAAAGTTTTTTAACTCGGTATTTTCCCCTTAGAGGCACAATATGATATGAAAAATAAAGCACAATAAGTGGAAACAAGAGGGCTTGGGTGGTGGTTATTTGGGCAAGTCAGGGCAGACACAATGACAAATCTGTATTTAAATAAGGATATAAAATGTGCAATGAAATTGCCACACGGGTAATATGTCAGCAGACAGTATACTATGGGTGGAACAATCCAAACATGAATATAAATTATGAATATCACTATACATGTATTGAATTGCCTATATAACAGTCGATGTTTTTCGATTTTGACGTGCCATATGTTGATGTATTGTATTCTTGTCAAGCCATGCAGCCACTAATACGCATCACTATTTGTTGTAATGACGAAAAATTACGTATTCTTTTAACAAATCGTCACCATGAACGATAAAATGAGTTGAATCGCGCGAGGATGACTTATTCCACCCCGACAGTCTACAGTGCCCTTTAAAATACTAAGACGAGCAATTCAATCTTCATGTTAAGTCATTGGCAAAAGCACCAGCAGCTTTCTATAACGTAATTCTACAACAACAATTTAGTGGACAAGTATGTATTTAGTCTGGCGAATGACGCAGGTAAACCTAACATTGATAGTGGCGTGATTTAGAACAGCAATACCTGTGGTTGTTGTTTTTTTATGTGTTTGCTTATGGCACCGGCTGGTGCTCACCGTGCGTTGCTCATGAAATTTACAATAAAAACGAACCAAAAAGCACCGGACAACGCACACCTATAATATGACTAAATGCACACTTCACATTACTGCACCTGGCTTGGCAACAGGCGAGCCCAGGGTGGTTACAGTACGTTTAAATGTAAATGTCATGACGCCCGTGCTCAAGGAACACAGCGACAAAGACTCTTCTCTCAAGCTGTATCTACGACAAGAGGTGGATTTTTCTCCACTTTCTAAGTCTGTGATTAAAATGAATCATGTTCTCCTTATATTAACGGTTACATACGAGCTACATGGTACATTTAATCATATTACTGTATACTTAATTATATCCTGACAATCAAACAAAACACGCACGCATCTTTTACAATAGATTTGAAAGCGATGAACAAAAAACATGTACATTTAAACGATACATTTCAATACAACCCGCATTCACACTAAATACGCGTTACTCACAGCACGACACAGCTTCTCCTGGAAGGCAGAAAGTAAATCCAGAAGCAGAATGTGAACCGACCTGGCCACGCAGCAGCCCTTACACCATAGGGCGGGTGACATCACAGCCTCACATTACGCGAGACATGGATACACCGCACCTCACCCGTGTCATGTGTTCCCCTATTGGCCAATGTGTCGCGAACACTGAACATTGCACTGCGGGCTAACCACCCTATCAAGTTCCCTTTCCTTGCTGTTGTGTCAACACATTAGCCTAAACCCAAAATCATAACAAAAAGCAAGAATTTACGAATGACATGTGGGCTATACCATGGCACAGGTGCTCTACATGAAGAAAAATAACACCTTTTATTTTGCCCGCCGAAACAACATGCCTGCAAGCGATCAAAGTCCTTTTGAACACAGGTGTAACGCAACCGGCAATGAAATGTTAAAATTGCACACACTCTCGCAAACATGCCGAATGTACCACACACAGATTAGTGAAGCCATGGGTTAAATTTCAATAACAGATTAGGTGTGACTAGGTGGTCTGTTGTTAGTGCCTTTGCATTTGGGTCCAGGGTTCAAAGAGTGGAATCCAACACCATATCCCTGATAATAACGCACCAAGGAGAGATTTATAGCGCAACCATGGAGCAATCATTAAGTAGTGGCGCCATCTACAAATCTGTGAGGATAGGATTTTGAAGACCCTCCTTGACATTGAGGCTCTCAAAAGGTCACTCTGTGTCAGTGTTTAGCCCTGAACTCAGAGGATAAGCCACAACCAATAAATTATCAACTCAAATTATGGCCATAAAAACACTTACCTTTGTTGAGCTTTACACATTCCCAAAGCACATTATTTTTCTCTTATTATGCTGCATTATTTGTCTGTTATGAAAAATTCTCGACATTTAGATGAGAAAAGTAGCTAACTGCTTCAAAATTGCTGCCCGTCTTGTTTGATACATTGAAATAAAAAAATATGTCGTGGGTATACATAAAATAGAAATTACAAAGACGACGGGAATGCACACGATTAGCATAAAATGGTCATTAATACAGTTATAAATAAGGCAACTAAAAATAACACATACCAGTATTTTTCTTCCTTGACAAGGCTCCATCCAGGATGGTCTTCAGATTTTCTCTGAACATGGTGCCGATGTATCACTGTGCGGGCAATTAGACAAAAATGAATAACATTAAGTATCGTGGAGGGGGAAAAAAGCAACATTTAATTAGAGCATATATTGTTTTGCTTGCATACAGTGGTCCAAAGCAAACACAGCCCGTGTCAAATGCTGCACTTGTGAATGGTGTATGAGGAATCCAGGGAGCAGTCAGTAGGTAGGGTTTTATCCCCTGGCTGAGGGGGCAGGCTGACCAAACAAAATTCCTGGCATGCCTGGTGCATAGACAGCACACAGGAAAAAACAGCCCCTTGTCCCTTCGTCCGCCAACCTTCTACTGACAGCAAATCAGTTGCCCTTACACCAGCATGCCAGCTACTGGTTTTCTTCATTCACTCAGCCATACAAGGTAAGTGCAGAGTACATAAACACAGAATCCACACGGTTTATGCACATACCACTCATACCATCCCCATTCTAGACAGTACAATTTAAATACTGTAATGAACATAAACTACGTGTGTGTTTACTCAAACAAAGTAAAACAAACCTATTGGGTCTGTGTGCAGCGAGTCTCTCTAAATACTGAAGTACTAAGATGAATAAAAAAAACCCAGAGCCAAAGAAAATCAGAACAAATTGGGACTGTACTACAGTTTATTCCAAAAAAATAATAGTAAATAGATAAGATACACTTCACGGATTATTTTAACCCTGAAATAAATTCTCTCTTACACACAATTTTTTAAAGTACCGATTGCTCAGCCAGACATTACAGCACACAGGTCTCTTTATAGAAGCACTCCAGAGTTGGTATCATGGCATATAATTAAATAGTTCTGACTCAGGGAGGGAATATTTTCATTAATAGCCGTGTTTTTTTCTTTATTGTGTGCAGACACGAATAGGTCAACTGCAGCACAAATATTTCCGGCCATCATGATGGGAAAAATCTTGATTTTGGGCTTTACGTATGCAAAGTGCACAGATTTTTTTTTTCAAATGTGAGAATTATGCGAGTCGACCAAAAATGGCAACATATTTAATGAACGTGCAATATATCTCAAATAACAGTAGTCTAACATCTTTACCATCAGCGAGTGTTATCCAAAAGGCATGTGAAATCGGTTCTGTCATCACACCATATTCTTGACAGATGGAATAGGCTATAGAATCCTCCCAACCTAATTCATCAGTAGATTTAAAAAAATTTCAACAGGTTTTTCACATTTTTGTTGCATTACATGAGGCTTTGCAGTTCAGCCTTTGCTAACACGGCGTGGGCTTTTGTATTGTAAGGCACAGTTAATAAGTCCAGTGAAAACACACGGAATGTTTACTCTACCGTGAATACGTGAGGAAGGAAGAGGCCGTATTTTTACAGCTTTCAAAAATCACATCCATTTTCAGTCTTTTACATCAACCATTTACCAACATTTTGCCACCAGGGCTTTATAGTTCCAGAGCTGAGAGACATACCACAAGCATTTATGCATACCACAGTTAAAGTAAATAAATATCAATCCCTGTACCCACGCAAACACACAGCATACAAAGGCAAAGAATCCCCGTATAACCTTAACAGACTGTAGGGGCAAGTGCTGTTAGCGAGCACCTATGAAGGCATACGATGGGGTGGGTGGTCAACACCACGCCTGGCCGCCTTTGTCTCCCTAGTGGCGATATTTACACATCGCACCAGGTACTCATTTGAGGCCGAGTCGACCTATAGGAGGCCAGGACCGGTTCAGATAATCGTCACTGGTGTTGGCCATTAGCGGGAATCGAACCCGGGTCACCAGTTCCGTAACGCAGCACGCTAACCTCTACACTACAACACGAAACACAATCACATTTCTGAAGACCAAACACTACCGGATTCCATACCGAATGTGTTTTCAGGTAAAACATAAATCAATAGTCTGGCATGGTGTAAAATAGACTAAACTCTTAACACTGATCAGCCAGCTGGCTTGGTCATTTCCTGCTGGCTAGACGTTCCCAGTCTCACTGAACCAGCCCCGTTTTCCAGATCACGGTGTGCCATGTTCATGGAACCGAGATCTCGTCAGGCCCTAGCCGGCAATGGCTGTGCGCGCTCTGGCATCGCAGACGTTCAGTGCCCAGGGGCCCCCCCCCACACCAAGTAGTGTGCGTCTTCACACCAGGATGTGGCTGTGACATCCACGAGCCATGTTTGCATTTCCTGAATCAAAGTGCAGCTGAGTGTGGTTTTTACACATCGTTACCAAACGCAGCCAATGCTCCCCCGCTGGACTGCTTCACACACATACATACATTATTTACACTGCTTATATACAGAACTATATATATTTTTTACCTATTTCATATTTTACTAGGTCAGGCCCACTGAGCTATACTGCTCTTTTTCAGAAGCGCCCTGGCCACAAATGAGAGCTCAACGAAGTGATTTATCATGTGGAAATGCATAGCAGTCAAATACTCTTAAACACATGCATGTTCCTGCAAACCAGGCTAGGTAGTTAACATCTCGCCACCGTGGTCCCATATACATACCACCGCATACAGCACAAGTACATCTTCTGTATAAAGTAATTATTTTCATTAAGCAAGTCGGAAACAAAGATAGACCTACTATGCAGGTTTCTAAGGTGGTGCTGTATTTCTCCGATTCAGTTTTCTTTGTGTTTGTAACGCAAGTTGTTTTGCATTATGTCCAAAATTTCGCTCCGCGTGATGCCCAATGATTCGCCCTGGAGCAAAACGTCATACATTATGGCAAACAACAAGCAGGTCAACGATACATCTCTTGGACAGCTACAATTATACACATTTTCAACTCATTCACAAAAAATTGGAAATATATTAGAAATCATGGAAATAATCTAACACCTTAGTTGATTTCAAATGCCCAATTTGATGAGAAAAAATACCCTAGAAAGTGGTCTAAGTGTATTCAACATTGCGCTCATTCCCTAAACATCCCTTCCACACTCACCCATCTCCATCTTGACGCCCAACCCCCGAGGCCATTGTGCCTCTCCGGGTGGTGATGTCCAACTTCCTCAAGGAACATAACAAAAGCCCTTAAAACCCCACCCAGGCGTAAATGCCAGTTGGGCAGTTTCTCAGTAAAAACAGGACGGAAGCAGGAACCTGCCAATGAAGGCAGGAATTGGTGCCACTGTTGACCTTCAACGGGGGCAGTGTGACCAGAATTCAGGCACCAAATGACTCACTCTTCTTGTTCACTTTGGTGCCTTGGTGGGTAAAACTGGGCAAGCACCGCTGCTGCACATTCTTGGACAGCCCCACGGACTACAGCTGTGCACCAGATATCTCGTCACAATTTAAAATGTGTTTCTCATTGGGGGAATGATTAGATTAAGACAGCATCATTTATAAAGTTGCTTCGTCAGTTTATAACATACACAATAAGACATTAGTAAAAAAATGTTTAACGTGACATCATCGATATTATAATTACTCAACTTTATATCGTACAAACAGGATTTTAGGTAAGTCCATGCATTGAAACCCACAACACCAGCGGAAATTGTTGCACTTGGCTTAATGAACAGTAACGCTACTTGTTTGTGCACATTACAGAGTTTTTTTTCAATCTTGACAGCTGGCAAGGCACAAAGTCATAACTTGGAAGTTATGTTCTCAATATATTCTGTGTCGGACTGCTGGCAAGCTCCTTACGTGAAGCAGAGTAGGGGAACTCAATGGGCTTAGCATGCCAAAGTGAATCCGGTCAAATGAAAATTTCAGTCTAGACTGAGGGCAGACATAAAACGAAGGGAATCCTAAATATTTGACCCAGAGCCGTATTATGACTACAAGTGCAAACGGCAACACGATGACGTCCTTGTCTGGGTTGATGTATACAACAACACTTCCACAGCAACACAATGTCGGTTTACTGTGGAATGTGGTTGATGCACTTTGTAAAATTAGTCTCTAAAATCCAGTTTTTACTTTACCCGACAAGAGAAACGTGAGAATGTGCACATTAACACGACAATTAAGAACAAAGAAAATTATGTGCGCAACGCAAGGCCAGGTAAAGAAAGTTAGGCCAATTTTTATTGCCTTCCCCAGTCCCTTTGGCCCTCATGTTTTATCACAGGTGTAGTTTTAAATGAACTTTGTTACAAGTTATCTGCAACGAATAACGACTTATCCTCGAACAAACGTGAACCCTACCTGCTCTATTGCAATGCTTAAAGAGTATTAAAATACACTCCACACACATAAGTATGTACACAGTTATATATTGACTCAAATTAAGGGCATAAGTCTCACATTAAAATAGAAGCCGTTTTGCAACATATAATTTAACGCAGTAGAGTACATTTTGTTATTAAACATGTAGAATCACATGCAAGCACACATTTATAAACTATGGTTAAGTGGATTTCTGGGAATGTGTGGTCATAGCCATGAATTAAAAACTGCCCCTTCTCACATCGAGACGCTGCGTTGGGCATGGCTCCCACCAAGTCACCAACACAGATCAAAAACCTTTATATGAGTCATGCTCATGTCCTGGGGCTGAAGTTGCTGCTGATCCATGTTGAATTAACGCTTGGCAACAGAGAGCCTCAAGGTATAATGAATATAAACAAATCATTGCGTGTTACTACGTTGGCAGCTATAAATAAAGCACATACATCAAAAAGCTCAACACATTAGTCAATAACACTGCCTTAAAAGGATATATATAAGAGAACGTGTAGGCCAATTGGCCTTCTTCATAGCACGGCACGTGCTTTGTTATGCAATTGCTCAAAATTCTGCCGAATACATATTTTTCTTTTAAGGCCGTGTGATTGACAAATAGAATAAGTTTCAAGGTGTAATGGTTTTGGGGAGATAACAATGCACGTGAATATAACACGATACATTTCAGTGGGTGTTATAGCCATTTTTAAGTGCAATATGTAATGAGTGGTCATTTCAGTGAAAATATCTCTTCCTCGTGGGCATGCGCTGGGTGGACGGCTGTATTGCAGGATCATTAGACATGATGGCTTGGGAAATCCTTAATCC